CACGAGAAGTGCAAAAACGCATAATCGCACCGGCCCGCCTGGTGCGTTCCAGCCTGGGTTGCACTGAGGCCGGCAATTAAAACGCGGTGGGAAATCAAAACTGATTCCGGAATCCCACGAGAACAAGCAAAATACCCGAAATTTTCAATTCATATCATCCAATGTATCTCGGGACACAGCTGTGGGACATATGGATAAAAATATATGAATCGCCTATCGACAGTTGATGAGGTACCTACATTCTGGTTTAAATACAACGTCACCACGTATTTCTGTAAGGAAAGTTGCCCAGCTCGTAATTTTTTTTAAGTTACGAAACGGATTTCAAGGTAGGCAGAATGTTGACCAAAATCTGCTGCAGCACTGATCGGAGCAAGGCCAAATGAGCAAACGGTGAACAGGATTATGAAGTAACAGCTTTTCCACGGAATTGGTAGGAAGTTGCTCCAGGCAAAAATAAACGCTTATTTTGAACAACCAAGGTCTAAAAAGAAATTCAGAGAAAACAAACGATGCGAGGATCCAAGGTCAGTAACTTCCTTCCCCTTGCATACAAGGCCAAAATACAGCCAGCACGAGTCCATCCACTGAACTGTTTAGCAACAGCACTCATATTATTAACGATCTGACTGCTTCAAGTTTACGGCTGTAAATCGCGCTGGTGAGTCTGACACATCGCTACTTAGGTTGAATCAGTGCATTACTCATCTGCTAAATATCTTCTTTGTCTTTGGGGTTTAAATTGTCAAAAATGGCAGCGTACCTGCAGATCACAACTTCATTTTCTTTTTTATGAGGCGCTGTACTTACTCATTTCCGCTTTATCCAGTATCATTGTCTGTCAGGTACAGACAGTGTTTTTCTACACTTTTTGAATTTGCAGAAAATATTAGGATTGCTATACGAAACTTTAAATTCGGTCCTAAACAAGACAGGGGAAACCTTTCAACAAAGAGTAGAAAAATAAACCATACTCGTCCCATGAAAGCATACTTGCGGTAGTGCTTCTAACAGAGATTGCACAGCCCGTTTTTTATGATGAAAGTCTAGCTAAAGCTATGTTAAATGACTAATTGCACAGACTGTTGCTGATGATTACAGTGCTGAACAATAACAACAACAATAACAAGAATGAAAACAGTGTTAGATAAAAGATAACAATAAATATTTTCTGATAAACGACGATGCGCTGACATGCTGCGTCACACATTTTAGAGATAGGCTTTCCCTAGCAAAGTACGTTGCAATTCGCACGCGCGACTTTGCCTTTTCATGACCAGCTGTTGACCATCCAAGCAAAATAAGTGACTCCTGAGATTTGCTTAGTCTAGATTATTAGCCCGGGATTTCATTTTTAATCCTCCGATTACAAAATTAGCTGGAATTCAAACTTGGGATAAAGATCTACTTCTTCCAATAGTTAATTTTGCGCCGGCATTGTTGCTTGCGATCTGATATCATGCCCTTAAAGGCCATTTCTTAGCTGACAACTCCTCAAAACAGATACACATACGGGTGCGCATAAGCCCCATAACACGCCTTGTATTCATAGCGAAGAAAACAAAGTGATATGTCTAGACAAAGATATAACTATGCTACTGCTTCAACACTTTCTGGTACCGTTTCTAGCACCGGTTGGAACTTCATCTTTTTACTGTAAAGCGGCTGATCCGATTTTTGCCAGTTAACAGCGTCGCCCTGCAAAATATTATGTTAAAAAACAGCTGGATTTATTAGAAAAAAGTGTTATTTTTGACGTTTTATGCGGTGTAGTCAGCGAACGAGAGTGAAGGGAAGAAAGTTCTTGCAACTTTGAAAAGGTACCACAATTGTTAGTACTTCCGACTTTGAACTGAGTACCAAAACGGTCAATCTTTCTGATTCTCAAGTGAAGACCAAAACTACCAGTGTAAACGAAAACATGCAAAAGAAACTTCAGGGGCATAAATTCAATCAGAAAAGTGCAGAGTTTAATCAAAGTGCAATAAAATTCTAATAAAAGAATGAATGGTTAAAGAAGCATAAAATTCAGCAAAGAAACTAGCTTATAAATGCTAATTCCTTTGGAATAAATAGCCAAGCAAGCCAGTGGATCGGGGCCGTTATGCTTGCAGCAGTTACAAGTGCCTAGTCAATGGGAGCGCCACTATACACCGGCATTTGTCATGATTTATTAACTGAATAAGCATACGAACTGCATGGAAATTTTGAATCCATGAACTGATTAGTTCAGGAAATTCACTGCCAATTTGCAAGGAGCAGAATGATTTGGAAAACTGCTGCATGTTATTTGACCTAACTTACACAGACAACTGAAACCAAAAAATATCGGTTTCCAATTTTCTCTATTCGAATTTACACATCAAGCCATGTTCGGCACTCTTACTCACAGATCCGAAAGACTGGAACCTAATTTTCGAATATATGCGTCGCCCCATTTGGAATTTTGATCCGCCAAGAATATTGATTCGCAATTTTCTTGGTTCCGAGTTGCTAAATTTGAACATGGGATCATATGGCAGGAGTTAGAAACAGGGAGATGAGTGTATAGCTTAACAGAGAGACGAGGTCCATGTTCCTGGGATTTTCTTTATCCCTAGCTTTCATATTTCTGGAATATACAGCACGTTATAAAAAGAGAAAGGATATGTGCAAAAAAACATAAAAAGAAGCGAA